TAGAGAGAGAGAGAGAGAGAGAGAGAGGGAGAGAGAGAGAGCCTACGCTTGATATAAATAGATCGATATAGATATACAAATCTGTCCATAGCAACGAGTATATTCAATGTATTGTGACCAACTCCTACAGCTCTGTCCTGCTACATAGTGTAACCCAACACCACTGTACCAGTTACCATGGTGACGGCCACCTGCTCTAGGTCATTGATCTTATCAGGAAGCTTATTGGGAAATCTTGTGTGTTTAGAGAAAAAAAGGAGAGGAAGAAACAGAGAAAACAATATGTTTTCTTCTATCTACCCTCGAAGGCCAGGCACGTATATTACGACCATGGTCGGTGCTATGAAAGCCAATAAGACGGATCCTATGTATCGCATTCTTGTGTGACATGATGATAGCCAGTAAGAGTAGGTTTTAGTTGATAATTGATGGGCCGCTAGCTGAATAGACAGGTAAGGAATGTACAAAACTGATGGCTACACCTAAAGGCAGTTTACCGATTATGCGAAACAAAGAAACTTTCCCTGCAAACCGGTTGAACTGCAGAGAATAGGGCGGATGGTTTTAATTTGATCCAAAACCATGGAAGCATGACGATGGAATAAGAAAGGAAAACTAGCCATATGTATGGTCAGTTACGCTTTCAAAACTCCCTGAAACATGGATTATATCGTTTGAATCAGGACAAAATTAGGCTGGGTTAGTAGGGCAGCTGTTTGTTTCCGAATGACAGAAAAGGGGACGGGGTCAGCAGATAGACAACACTGAAAACAAAATTAGCACAATTAACACAAATAACGGACAGTGAGCAAAAGGACAAAAGGTCAGTTGTTAAGTACCTAGGGGGTCTGTTTGGTAGCGCCAGTTCTCGATTCTCATTTCCCCCAAAATTTTGACAATATCCTTACATTACCTTTGTAGTTTTGTCATCATCGAAAGTGGTCAATGGACTATGGAATTAATTCAACGATCCACTTGGGTATACTTGTTTATTGGTTTGCATGGTCAAACAAACAACGAAACGTTCGAACACCAACATCTAATTATGTTGAGACCAAGAACCTATAATTATATCCACATATATCACATCACTGGTGTCCGAACTGTTCCAATACATTGGGCCCTTTATATAATTCTACATATACACCCCACTAGTTCTTTTATGTCACATCAATCGTACAAGATTACATACATTCATATTAAGAGAACAATGATTGCGTAAGAATCATTCTCGACTAAAACAAAAACGATGTTGAAAGCAACATCAAGCGAATATCCATTATGGACAACACAGATATCTTCCACCACATTAATTAAAACGTTCAAAAAAGTATACAGCCACACGTTGAAAACACGTTCATTTACCAAAGTTTAAACTGTCCAGAAAATTCTTGCAAAGAATATCTTTACACCACACTCTACAAAGTAGTTCTTTTGTGTCACTTAAATCGTACAAACATGCATCAATATTCATAGAACAATGTAGGCAGTAAGAATCAGTCTCTACTAAAACAATGTTTAGAATAACATTAAGGGAATGTCCATTATGGGCAATACTGAGCTATCTTCCACCACATAAAACATTAAAAGTATACCCGTATCAGTTACATCTTAGCATGAAAGTTCATCTGTGTTGGTATACATCATTCTGACAAAAAGGGATAAACGTTAAGGCCAACACTGAGTAATTTTTTTAGAGTAAAAATTTGGGTAAGTCCCAATTTACTCAGTGTTGGCATTATACAGCTATACGTTTGAAGCAAATGCTGTTTCTGATTCATTTACCAAAGTTTAAACTGTCCAGGAAATTCTTGCGAAGAATGTCTCGTTGACGCCCCCGCCATGTATACACTGCCACTACCCCGGTACCTGCCACTACGAGTACAACACCGCCACACATGAGAAGACTGGGGACCTCCCGATGAATGAGGTAGTCCAACAATACTGCAAGAGGGACGGTGAAGGTTTGAATGGCGGCCACGATTCCCGCTTTTTCCGTTCTCAGCGCCAGTTCTGCGGCAAACGTCTGACCGCAGTCGCACACGCACAGTCCTATAACGTAACCCATCGTCTGCGCGGACATCGTCCAACGCGGCGTCTCTAGCGCGTACGTCAGACCAAGCAGCACCACCGTCCCCAACAGGCTGCCGTAAAAATTTATCGTCAGGACGGAGACACCCTGTAGGCCGACGAGCGACCGTTCGACGACGGCGTTCGGACCCCTTCCAGCGAACGTCGCTGCGAGCGGCAAGAAAATCGACGTCGCCAGACGCTCTGTCGACCAAGTGTCGTTGTCCGGATCCGTCATCATTTCCACTGCCACCAATATAACCCCGGCCACGCTGAGAGCGATTCCGAGACAATCCACGGCGCCCACGGTCTCCCGAAGGACCAAATATCCGATACAAGCGGTGACCAACGGCAGAGATCCTTTGATGATTCCGAAGGCAATCCCGGGGAGCACGATGTGGAAGGACATGTACTCTAAGGTGACGGCGACGTTGTTCGTAACCGCCGACAGTGTCAGGAACACAGTCTGTCGTCGGCCTTCCGTCGTCAGTCTTGGTCTAAACAAGGGCGTCATGACGAGGACAAAGATGAATTGCAGAAGTTGGGCGAGGAACACCAACTGCAGCACGGGCATGCCTGCTTTGCTGCTCAACGCCATGAACTGAGCGGCGAAGGCTGCTAGCAGGGTATGCAGGAGAGCGTAGAGCACGCCTGCACCAGATGTCAGCCAGTTAAAGTAGGTCTTCGTAGGACTGACTCCGCCTGGATCTGTCGTTTCTAGATCGCTGTGGGTTGCTGTCGGCTTGTCTTTGCTCACTGTCGTTGTCCTGGCCATCTTTTTATGGAGAATCGTCGAACCAATTAGATAATTCATAAGCTGCGTGATGTGTCAGGACTCTTCCGTCCACCTACTGTTATGTACGAGTCTGCGCGTCGTTCGCCTGGCACTGTCCGACATCTTGTCCATATGGTTAAAAAAAGTAGCTGCGGTGGTTCGGGCACGTATCCGGAACGAAAGGAACTCCGTCAAATGCGGTTCTACAAGGAAAGGCGGAGGGTGTGCGGCCGCGGGGGGAGGGGGCGTCTCCACCCAGCATGGAGCAGCGATGTCAAAAGTGGTCCGAAGAGACGGCGGCCAAGCTGACCAGACTAGAATGGCCGATGGCCGCCAGAGGTTGAGAAATTTCTGTGCACCGATCGGGCCAGTTCGACTCGCGGTCGGACTGGTACCTCGGGCGATACGGAACACCCCGTGCTGTATTCTCTATGCGGACAAACTGTCCCTACGCCTCACAGCTACAGGACTGAGTATCATTGGGTCAGTGGCTCACGCCACACTTTCGAAGACAAATCAAGCTAAAACATTAAATAACAGGACTCTCGACAAAACGTCGAAGATGCTCAGTTTTTCGGCAGATGTATTGGAGCTGTGAGTTAGCTGACCTTTGCCCTTTAAGGTGTCACAATGCACACATGCCATAAAACCTGCTCACGGTCCGTTAATTGTGTTAATTGTGTTAATCGTATCAATTTTACTTTCAGCGTCGTTTTCTAATCCCGCTCCCTTTTCTGTCATTCAGAAATAATCAGCTGTCCTAGTAATCTAGCCCAATTTGGTCGTGATTCAAATGATACAGTCGTTGTTTTAAGGAGTTTTAAAAGCGTACTCATCCTGAATATTGCTCCTTTATTTATTTCTTATTCCACCGATTTCTGCTTCCATTGTTCTGGATCAAATTATTACAACCTGCCACTCTGTTCTCCGCAGTTCAACCGGTTGCACTGAAAGTTTCTTTGTTTCGCATTATCGGCAAACTGCCTTTAGGTGTAACCACCAGTTTTGTTCATTCCTTAGCTTACCTGTCTATTTAGCTAGCGGCGTTTTCTTCACATGAATTATCAACTAAACCTACTCTTACTGGCTATCATCATGTCACACAAGAATGCGATACACAGGGACCACCAACTTTCATATCACCGACCTTAGACGTAACGTGCAGGCGTGGCCTTCGGGGCAATTATGTTTACATTCGTAGAGGGAAACATATCGTTTTGTCTGTTTTTTTCTTCCTCTTCTTTTTCTCTAAACACATAAGGTCAAAAACGCAATGCTAAATATGTTTTGTGATCATTGTTGGAAACAAACTTGTGGCTCACTGCACTGTTGAATTGCAACAATGATCAGACAGCGGTTTCACGTTCTGGTACCAATAAAGTCTCATTCTCCCCCTTCACTGTTTGTGGCGAGTCCGCCGGCTCCTCCGTCGTGTCCGCCGGCCGTTTCTTCCTGAGCCGCAGGAGGAACGGCAAGAGCCCGGCCAGCAGGAAACCGGCGCCGGCTTGGAGGAACGTGGCGTCGTAACTTTGGGTCTCGTCGAACAGCCAGCCTGGAGAGACATTCAGGAATTTAGAATTTAGTTCGTGATACTTTTGCTGCAACGAAAACCAAAGAGTTACGTTGCCAAAGGGTTACATTACCAATGAATTCCGTTACCAATGAGTTACGTTACCAATTAGTTACGTTACCAATTAGTTACGTTACCAATGAGTTACGTTACCAATGAATTGTGCTACCACTGAGTTACGTTACCACTGAGTTAAGTTACCACTGAGTTACGTTACCACTGAGTTAAGTTACCAATGAGTTAAGTTACCAATGAGTTACGTTACCAATGGGTTAAGTTACCAATGAGTTACGTTACCAATGAGTTACGTTACCAATGAGTTACGTTACCAATGAGTTAAGTTACCAATGAGTTACGTTACCAATGAGTTAAGTTACCAATGAGTTACGTTACCAATGAGTTACGTTACCTTAACATGGCTAATGAACTGCACTAAGAGGGTAGGGAGTAAACTTGTCTTCTACCCTTTATCCATTATCTCTCTTCTAATCATGCACTTTGCGCTAATGCGGGGTCTTTGTTTTAACCAGATTACCGAAAATAAAGGTCTGCAAAGACTGTTCCGTTACTTCAATGTTTATACTGTTGCACAACGTTTCCATATCGTTTGAAATCTTATTTCTCTACACAGACCTGCAAACGGTGGCCCAGCCAGCGATGAAAACCCCTGTATTGACATCATAATTCCAATTGCACTGGGAAGACGCTTCGGGCCAACCAGTTCGGCCAGACAGGTCAGTGTCGTCGGAAGAAACGCGCCGAAGAACGCCCCGTGTGCGATAGCGTACGCCACGAGCGCCGGGTACGTCTTGGCGAGCGGAAACAGGAGGTTGATGATGCCCAACAGGCACAGACTCAGTCCGTACTGGTCAAACCGGCTGAACCGTGAGTTGTCCGGGATGGCCCCGACTGCTAACCGACCGACCATGTCTGCGATAGCGATGACTGAGAGGAGGGACGCCGCCGCGTAGTCCTCGATCTGAAGCTGCTTGGCGCGAGGGACGATGTACAGCGTTGGAACGTTGAGGCCCAACTGCATTATAAACAAGGAGGTCAAATACAGGGCCACGGAAGGTATCAGGATCACTTTAAAGTCCATCTGTGCCCAAAACCTTTTTAGAAAGTTCGCGGCAGCTGCAGAACATTTCTTTGTTGTTCCAGGTTCCAGGACTGTGTCTGAGTCGTTCATTCTGCTGTTTCTGAGCGTTCTAGGGTCATCCCTGTCTCTGTAAGCCTCGAGAGGTCTGATCAAGGCTCCAGCTACAGTCATATTCAGCATCATGCCGCCTATAATAAGCAGAGCGCCCTTCCAACCAAACTCGTCCATCAGGTACTGGAAAAGTGGCGGGAACGACATGGAAGCGACGCTTGAGCCCAGCATGGTCAGGCTGGTGGCCATGGCTCGTCTTTTGGTGAAATACTGCCCGACAATCGCGAAAGCAGGACTAAGACATAAGGCATATCCAAGGCCTGTTTGGAACAAAAGAAGACGCGTCTTGTTATAACTAACAGCTAGTTCTGAAACTTCAGGTTATCGAAGCAAGTGTCAAATGTACACATGCATACGACATCGAATGTATCTACGTTAGAAATTCACAAACTGAACAGTGGCAGAAATGCCCTTAGACTGACCTGTCAGACATCCAATTCCCAAGTACAAGTGAAATATGCGGGTCGCAAAACGGCTGACGATGTAGCCGGCTGCTGAGAGCACCCCTCCCAACATGATGGTCGGGCGGAAACCTATGGTGCTCGCCAAGGCAGTGCCAACCGGAGCTACGGAGAGAAAAAAAAAGGCACGTGTTGAACATACTGTAAAAGCTGGACCCAACAATGCCCCGGAAAAGTGTTACATTGGGTATTCGTCTGAGGCCCTTTTGGTGTGAATAATACCTAAGTGTCGAACTTGTTACAGTTGTTCCACAAAAGGCTTAGAAATAGAATACTTTTCTTTCCACGACATCATGGTTGTTAAACAATCGTGTACGTAAAATCCCATAATCATTTCATTTCATTTATTTATCCAGGTGATACATATCGCCTTGTCGGCGTTTTTCAATGATACCTGGGGGGTAAACCCCAACATAGTAAAATACAAAGTAACTGAGGATAAAATACAATAATAAATAAGAAGAAAATAATCACTATATACAAGTGTGCAATTAATCATAAGGTAACATAAAGAATCCAACCAAACACAAATAAGTTAAAGCGAAAGGAATTTGCATATCAATGGAACTTATCTCACAAGCATAAATCAAACAAAATCATGTTAACTGGTAAGGAAAATCATAATGTTTGTAAATCACCCGTTTGTAAATAAACCTTGCGAGTCCCGGTGACTCCAGATAGAACACGCGTTCTGTTCGAATTACCACCGGTGACCCCAAATGGAACACGCGTTCTGTTCGAATTACCACCGGTGACCCCAAATGGAACACGCGTTCTGTTCGAATTACCACCGGTGACCCCAAATGGAACACGCGTTCTGTTCGAATTACCACCGGTGACCCCAAATGGAACGCGCGCTTAGTTCGGAAGACCTGTGCCCAACAGTAGAACGTAAAAGCATTATGAAAGGTTTTTATTGTACGTTTGTAAGAACAATTATCAGAGGTACTTTTGGTACAAGCATATGCCGTAAAATCGTTAGTTAAGGTTGAACTAACCAAGGAAAAGCATAACGCTGGTAAGGATAGAGGTTATCCACGCCGTCTCCGCGGAGCTGGCCTGAAACTGTTGGCTGAACGTCAGGAAGAAGACTCCGAGGGAGCGGAATGTTCCGAACGTGCATCCAGTGACGATGAACCCGGCCAGAACCACCATCCAGCCCCAACCGCCGTCCGGAGGCTGAGGGTGGCTCTCTGGGTTCGCCATGGTTTCTCTTCAGCTAGAGGACCCTAATTATCATGAAAGTTCATCAGTGTTGGTAGTAATCATAGTAAAATGTTGAACTTTCCCACACAACGGATACTCAGAGATCAAATTTTCAACGACCACTGTCGCCTTCATAAGGATAACTAATGACCGATCACTTCCAAACGTAAACTTCTTGTGTTGGAATAAAGTTCAATATTTTACTAGGGGACCCTAAGTTGAACTTGGAAAGAAAAAGACATGAGTGACTACCAAATTTTTTTCCTGGCTACTCCCTTTCTGCCTTCAAGCCATCATTACAACGTTAGCGCTTTTACTTAGCAATAAAACATAATTGATTAGCTGCTGGGGGCGTAGCATGGGCGAGCGCCTTTGGCAGCTTGTTTACATGGGACAAACTACACAAAGTCTCAAAGTTCAATTCTTATTCTGAACTGGTAATAAGCACGTAGTTGCATTGAGATTTTCTCAACTTGGCGCGTTTTTTTGTCAATTTTACCAGGGTTTAAAACGATCTGTAGCTTTTTTTTTGTATCGCGATGTCTTAAGTAATAGATAACACCTCGTTAATAGCAGAAAATATTGTTTTACGTATTCATACCTCCACGCCAAGCCGGGGTTCAGGTACAGGGTGAATTCTAACTCCCAGTGTACATTGGCTAACTCGGTCAAAGGCCAGAAATTTGCGCAAGCGCAGTAGACCTAGTTTAGTCTATATAGAGATTACCTTATAAAACCAAATGTACGTCACCTACCGACTTTTCTACGAATGGCAGCACGGCAGACTTGGAGCCATGTCCCATCGTATCGAGGCAACAGTGTCATCGTAACTTTGGGTCTCGTCGAACAGTCAACCTAAGTACCACGCACAAAATGGCACAGTGGTGAATGCACACTTGTCTTGGTTTCATCTTGTATTTCAAGGTGAATTGAGAAAGGCTGAAGTATACTAGTAGTTCAGCACATTAGTATGCAAGGCTGGGCATACTAGTAGCCTTAGGGTTGACTACGTGTAGGGGTGAAAGTTTCATTGTGTCGGAGGGCATATGTGTGGGCGTCGGCTGCAGTGTAAATTTTTTTACTGTCACTGTCAACAACTCGTGTGCTGGTGAATCGTCTGGTGAGTTACTAAATTATTATGTCGAAAAAATGTGGAAATACGTCTACATTGGGGTTTCTCGATTATCTATAGATACGGCAGAAACATAGGGGTAGGATTTGAAACAAAATTGTTGTTATTTTTTTACTTCAGTTTAGACCTAAATTCTGAAGTCAAGATGGGAGTGGCCGTGTTATTTTACTGGTGTTCTAATTTTCCTTCGGAGTTGTTCATGACAGCCATTGCTCAAGCGTGTGCCCATCCAAGCCAATGGCCTTACTCAGGCAGGCAGTTACGCTTTTGCTTGGGGAAGATCGTCTTGAAGATTAGAGGCCTCTAATCCACGACGAACGAGGCAGTTACAGGTGCTCAGACCTTTCTACACACAGCCAGTGTCGACATGTCACTAACCAGAACCTGAAACAGACAAGGATTCTAAACGGTTTCAACGTGTCATAGCTACATGTACGTGTGGAGTTTGGATCTTAATAGTTTTTAAAATGTTTTTAAAGATTTTCTAGTTGGCCTTAAGTCCAGATTTCACAGTACTAATGAAAATGTCTGGCAAAGAATGACTGAGGATGAACCCAATTGGAAATAATGTGTCTAGACATGGCACCATTGATACTAGTAGTCGATGACACTAATAAATGTTTTGTTTCATCCAAGTATCTAAACGATGACATCTCGACACACTACAGCATTCTAGGCTTCAAGTTTCTCGTTAAACCAAATGTTGATTTTGGGCCTTAAAAGTCGGCTGTAGTTATAATCCCTAATCCAATGTCCTAGGGTAAACCCAAGCGTAAATAGTGCCTTGGGCGCTTGCAACCTTCCCGCTATTGTCTCTCAATGTCTGTTTTGTCACCTTCCGCGATACAGTTGAGTACCCACAATTACTCGAGGGCTTGCAACATGTAAATCAACTGTGTGTCAACGAGGGTGGTTGACCCCTCAGAATGTCATATATAATAAAAGCAAATAAAAATGTGTCATTTTCTACGATTATCTATTACTACTAGAGTACTCTGTTTGTAGCGAAATGGAGCAGGGCAGATCACTTACTGGAAGAATCTAACCCATTTTCTTTAAGTTTTACCATTCTTTTTATGTTATGATAATTTCGTTTCTTTTATTAGAATATTTGTGAACGATGAGTGCACAGAAGAAGATGATAGAGGCTGCCCTCGCGGCTGGAAAAAGCGCCGATGATAAACCAGGTAATAACAGAAAACGTCTCATTATTTCGTCTATTGTGGCACGTGTGTATGCTAATTTCTAATAGAAACTATTACATGTACATGTACTCGTAAACAGGATTGGAAACCGTCGGTGGCATTTTTATATTCATTCAACTCACCAGGGGCACTCACTGGCATATATCAATAAGGGAAGCACGTACTTTAGTATGAAATAAAAATGAAACTAGAAAGGCCAATATTTGCTTTGGAGCAAATACAGCGATGGCTTCACCACATTTTACGACATGGCAGGGAAAGAATGAGAAACACAAGGGAAAACAATGCTTTACATTGATATAACTATAATATGAAGTAACATACAACTAAGACTACAACAGTTGGCTAGCTATTCCCTACATTATTGGTTAGGATTTTTAATTGCATAATGCAAACTGTTTATTTAAAAAAAAAAACGTTCATGCCCCGCATTCCAATGCTGGAGCAGGAAAGCTTGAAATACCTACCAAAACACTTGAATACAGACATACTGTCAGTATGGAAATGGTCTGTGCAGGTGTTAATCAAGTTAAATCCCAACAGCCAATCAGCAAGAAATGCTCTGTGCAGGTGGAAATGGTCTGTGCAGGTGTTAATCAAGTTAAATCCCAACAGCCAATCAGCAAGAAGAAGAGAGGAAAGCTGCATGCCTATTGGTTGATGCCCTGCATTCCATTGTGATGACTCATGCCAAATGTGGTTAACACTGCCCACTGACACAGTAATACATTTGCTATAATACAGCCAAAAAACTCAAATAAAACCATTCTAAAAGCCTGTATCACAAAAATTTAAAAAACGCCTAAGGGTATTTGCCCACTGTACCTCCATACCAAATTTCAGATCCTTAGGCCCCAAAATGAAGAAGCTGAATCCATTTTAAAAAATGGCAGGAGAAGGAGAAACATCAGAGAAAACAATATGGTTTCACCAGACCACTTCGTGGTCTGGTGAAGCCATAATGAAACTTGTTTTTTTATTCGCACGCTCGCATCAGTTTCGGGGTTCCCAGAGGATGCCATCCATATCATCAAATCAACATGGCCTTCTGACATAATGACATAAGTAATTGAGAACGGTCGGTATAATCATCAACAGAAAAGTTCCATTCTCTGTACAGATGGGTTAGTGGAGGTGACACTGAAGGCGGAGAACACCCTTGACCCGAACTGGCCCGTTACAGATACCGTAATGAAGGTTCCTCTTGGGAGTTCGGTCTACTACATGCTGCTGCAGGCATACAAAGACGGCAAGATCACGTAAGTCTATGATGTTAACAACATATGGAGGGAAGAGGAGGAAGATTGCGAGGGATTGAGATGACAATACGTTTTATTGCAAATTCCTGCCCGAAGGCTAATTGCAATTAACAAGGATAAAAGAACGTTACCATTAAAACAGAGTACAAAACTAGAAAGGCCAATATTTGCTTTGGAGCAAATACAGCGATGGGTTCACCACATTTTACGACATGGCAGGGAAAGAATGAGAAACACAAGGGAAAACAATGATTTACATTGATATAACTATAATATGAAGTAAAATACAACTAAAACAACAGTTGGATAGCTATTCCCTACTTTATTGGTTAGGATTTTTAATTGCATAATGCAAACTAGTTGATTTTCAAAATAAAAATAACGTTCATGCCCTGCATTCCAATGCTGGAGCAGGAAAGCTTGAAATACCTACCAAAACACTTGAATACAGACATACTGTCAGTATGGAAATGCTCTGTGCAGGTGTTAATCAAGTTAAATCCCAACAGCCAATCAGCAAGAAATGCTCTGTGCAGGTGGAAATGCTCTGTGCAGTCTGTTAATCAAGTTAAATCCCAACAGCCAATCAGCAAGAAGAATAGAGGAAAGACTGCATGCCTATTGGTTGATGCCCTGCATTCCATTGTGATGACTCATGCCCAAACGTGGTAAACAAGGCACACTAACACAGTAATACATTTGCTATAACACAGCCAAAAAACTCAAATAAAACCATTCTAAAAGCCTGTATCACAATAATTTAAAAACCGCCTAGGGGTATTTGCCCACTGTACCTCCATACCAAATTTCAGATCCTTAGGCCCCAAAATGAAGAAGCTGAATCCATTTTAAAAATAGGCAGGAGAAGAAGAAGGAGAAGGAGAAGGAGAAGAAACATCAGAAAAAGCAATATGG